CCAAGCTTTTCTTGAAATTTTTCCCGAACCCTTATGTGTGCCTTTGACCTGTTTGAGTTTGTTTAGTGTGCTAGGACTATATGTGTTATTATTATGCATTTTGGTCAAGTCTAGATGTAGGACCCAAGTGTTCCAATATCCACGGAACTTCACGAACTACTTGGTTGAATCAAGTTCGACCAATGTATGCTTGTGATTGTTCTCTAAGGTCAAATAGATGTTGATCTTAGTATTAAATTATTGTAGGTGTCTGACGAGCCGTGCTCGCTGCCTTCTCCCGTTGTGTGCCATATTTCCTTGCTATACCAGGTGGGTTTTACTTATGAAAATTTTCTATGCCATACGTGTGTTTAAGTGTTTGGTTGGCATGACCTATGTATGAATGTGAACCATGTGGCCTACTTATGTGAGGTGTTACGGTCGTCGGTACGGTTGTCCCCGTCGAGTTACGGCACGGTTGCCCTTGCGAGGCAAGTCTCCTTAAGACCTAATGAAAGGCCGTGTTCGTTACAGTGGCACGCACTCCCGTCGTTAGGGTTTATGCATCCCCTTTCCGCGGCTAATGATAGATGTGCACATGAGTGAGTTATTGTTGTGATTAGGAGATGAGGCATGATGATGATTGATTTATATTCATACTGCGACCATACCATCTAGACACGTATTATTTATGTGCATAGTGGTGAGCACGCTTTTCATCTAGTGCTCATCCTCACTTGCTCTTTACTGATGCAGGTTAAGCAGGAGCTGGGTGACGAGAAGAGGCGAGTGGGTCGGTCATATCTATTTATCGCTTCCGTATGTATAGGGCTTTTGAACCTTTGTGTTGAGACTTGATTATGCTATTTTCTAGAACTTATGACTTGCTTGTTTTGGAAATTTGTGGAACCTGGATTGTTGGGTATTACGGATTGATTATATATTCATGTTGAGAATTATGTCTCGTGATATGTTTCGGTTAATGAAAACCGTTTGTGAAAACCGGGTAATGAATCCCCGTGAGGCCAGATAAGACTTGGGTTATGAAAAATGTTTTTTAACACCCATTGAATTTTCGAAAATGATTTTGAAAAATTTTACACTGATTTTTGGAAAGTCCGGAATTTCTTTAAAATCAAAGTGGGGGTGTTACAGTTTGGTATCAGAGCTAGTCTGCGTTTCTGTAGACTGGTTTAAGATGTGATAATGTGTTTAGACCTTGTGTTATGACCACTCGTCTCCGTCACTCCGCGCTGCTTAAGGTATGTTTTGTTTAAAGTATTAGTGAAAATACTTGTTATGTAATTGATGCACTTGTAGTAATGCAACTACTCGTGATGAACTTGTGATTTTGGTTCGAATCCTAGTGCTTATTGGGTGAACTCTAGGCGCTTTTGGGAACTAGTTATGACTCTAGAGATTTCTCTATGAGTTTGAGTTAGCATTTTGAGCGGGCTATCTCTTTAATAGTTGAAATTTGCGTACATACACCATAGCTTTTCTGGTGACCAACGTCAGGATGCCTTACTAAGATTAGATAACCGAGAAATTTTGAATGTGCGGGATCACTCAAATGTCTGGGGCAGCTGACAAGTGTACCGGAGTAACAGTGGTGAAATCCAATCTTTGGGGTATGATGATTTTGATTTAAAACTTCGAACGAGTTATCGACCGATGCCAAGGAGCTCTGTTAATCGATGGAATAATACTAACGCCAATCTCAAGGATGAACTGAGCAAGGAGTGGACGACTGACCGGGAAATCGAGATTGTGTGTTGATTATTAATTTTCCATTCTTGTGTATTATCTTTTAATTGGTTGTGAAATTTTATGTGTTCTATGTGTGAAGCTAACTTTGTTTAGAGGCTTTGTATATAAATAAGGGTAAGCAGTCTGTTTTCTGCTAGACCTTATTTGTTGCAAGGTTGATGTTGTTGTTTGCGATAACTCCGAGTCCGTGTAATAGGAATTGCAAACGTCATCGTAACTCTCTTGGGTATCGTAACCTGGAGGCCAATGATGATCATTTATCAAGTCATTATCGACTCGTATGTTGCACCGAAAATGGTTTTCTCCGATCGGGAGTCTTTGATAATTGCGAAGAAGGTGTGTACCTTAAAAGATTATGAAGGATCTTTTAAGGAGGGTAGTTGAGCCTGGAGCATGTGCATTGTGAGCCATATAACCGCTTATATTCTCAAATTTACTTTTCGTTGTAAACTTTGGCAAGTTTTTGTTCTTTAATCTCTTTTTGGCCTTTGGGAGAATTTTCTTTCACTTCCTTGGACTCTTGAAAAAAAAAAACCCTTAAAAACCTTGACTTTGTTCTTGTTCGCTTGAGTTTCGAGATCAAGTTTATGACCTGATGTACTAATTAAGACAAGTGTTTCCGGCTTCCTGCTTGTCTTATATCATTCTTTCAGTTGTGTTTGAATATTTCATTCATCCGAACCAAATTATCTTTATCGTATTGATGACAAGTTGAATCATTTCTGAGACGCACCAATCATTCGAATACATCTATGAGTAGTCTGGAGAAACTGCAAAGAAGACCACCAGACGAGAAAGCAAGATACGACCAACCGGAATACTAGAGGAGCCAATCAGTTTCATGGTAATGAAGGCTGCACATCGACAATCGTAAAC